TCAGTGGTTGACTGACTTGTATTTTATTGTTTTCGCTAGTTTATTATTTTATCGTATTTATTATTCTTATGGTATCTATTATGTTTCTGTTGTTCAGCACTTTGGTCACCCTTGTGTGTTTTTAAAGTGCTATATAAATAAACGATGATGATGATAATGATGATGGAATCATTAGCATAAAAGATGTACCTAAGGCATGAGCCAGTGCTTTAGCTACACATAACAACTTAGTTTGGCCATGCAAGAGGCTGGCAACCTGTCCAGCATGTACCCAACCTGTTGTCCTATGGAAGCCGAGGACATCTGACTTCTGAAATTCAAATGAAGACAGTGAATGTCACACCATAAGAATTCATCTTAATGTGGCATGGCTGATCAGCAGACAGTTGAATAAAAGTTTGCCTGGTCTCCAAGTAACTAAAAAAGTGCAAAAAGTGTTAAATCATCCCCAAGTCTATTCCACTTGATGAAATTGGCTCTCATGTAGGTCAAACCAAAAAAAGAAAAACTAGAAATTCCCAGTTTCAGAGAAGTTCCATTTGCTTTACCACCCTCGCCCATTAACAGCGCCTCAGATTAGAGCCCACATCAAAGCCTCCAGAAGTTCAAATAGCAGACACATTTCATCAGCTGTTGGAGGGAGACTGAGTGAATCAGGCCTTGAAGGTGGAGCCAGTACTGAAGGAGACCAGTATGAAGAAGAGAACTGCTTTAGCCTGAAAAAACATGACTTGACAACTGACCAATGTGAATCCAGACTTCAGCCTCATGAGTTTAACTGTGCTATTTTTGGTACCAGACACATTATCTTTGTAAAATAAAGGAAAAGAGATTGGATTTCCATGTGTGGCCCTCACTGTGAGGCACAGGGGACATTAAGACCACAGTCACGACTTAAATCCAGTTGAGTTAATTTGGGAATAGTTGAAAAGCAGCCAACAAGTTGTGCTCGGCTTATGAGGGAACTTCTACAAGAGTGTTAAGAATGCTGTATACAGAAAGAGTATGTAAAGCTGTTAACAAAGCAAGAGGTGGCAACTTTGAGGAATTTAAAATGCAAAACCTACTTTTGCTTTATTAACACTTACTTGAATCCACATGTTATTTAACAGTAATAATCTATTGTGACGTTTTACCATACAACAAAAGCGGAAAGCATAAGCACCCAGAACCTTCCGCAACAACTTAACGCTATTACAAAGAAAACATCTTTATGAGAATTTTTTTTTTTACATTAATAAATCACACGCACCACAGAACAGCTCTGTTTAAAAGATTTACTAATGAAAAGTTGAATATTAAAAACAATGGGGCAAGTCATGATTTGTGTAAATATTTTTCTGTGGAAGCAAACAAGTTTGAACATTGAGTCGTAAAGAATCATCCATAAAGGGAAAAGTACAGAAAAATAAACAAACACACATAAACCCATCCAGAACATTTAGAAACACAGTTTTAAATAGTGCAATATAAAGTAAAGTGAATCTAGCTGCTTGATCTCTACATCTACAGTGTATGAAGCAAAGTGTATGAAGCAAAAGAGTGGGTG